TCACATATTAAGCCACAAAACAATCCTTGACAAATTCAAGAAGACTGAAGTCATACAATGCATCTTTTCTGATCACAACGCTATTAAACTAGAAGTCAACCACAAGAAAAAATTTGGAAAGATCACAAATATAATGAGGTTAAATAACATGCTAATAAGCAATGAGTGGGTCAAACAGGAAATAAAAGAAGAAATTTAAAAAGTACATAGAAACAAATGAAAATGAAAACACCAGGTCCAAAACCTTTGGGATGTAGCAAAAAAAGTTCTAAGAGGGAAGTTTATAGGAATATAGGCCTACCTTAAGAAGCAAAAAAAAAATCTCAAATAAACAACCTACTCTTACACACAAAGGAGCTAGAAAAAAACAAAAAAACAAAACCTAAAACCAGCAGGAAGGAAGTAAAAAAGATTAGGGCAGAAATAAATGATATAGAAATTAAAAAAAAAAACAATAGAACAGATCAATGAAACCAGGACCTGGTTCTTTGGAAAAAAATCAGTAAAACTGATAAACCTCAAGCCAGACTTATCAAGAAAAAAAGAGAAAGGACTCAAATAGATAAAATCACAAATGAAAGAGGAGAAATAACCACCACCACCACAAAAATACAATTATAAGAGAATATTATAAAAAACTATCTGTCAACAAATTGGACAACCTGGAAGTAATGGATAAATTCCTAGACTGAATCAGGAAGAAATAGAAAAATTGAATAGACAGACAACCAGCAAAGAAATTGAATCAGTAGTGAAAAAACTCCAAACAAACAAAAGTCTTACTGATACATCACATCAATAAGAGGATAAGAACCATCTGATCATTTCAATAGACACAGAAAAAGCATTTTACAAAGTATAATATCTATTCATGATAAAAATCCTCAACATAGTAGGTTTAGAGGGAACATAACTCAACATAATAAAGGCCATATATGAAAAACCCACAGCTAACATCATCCTGAATGGGGAAAAACTGAGAGCCTTTCCCCTAAGGTCAGGAACAAGATATGGATGTCCACTCTCTTCACTTTTATTCAACATAGTACTGGAAGTCCTAGCCACAGCAATCAGACAACAACAACAAAAATAAAAGGCATCCAAATTGGTAAAGAAGAAGCAAAACTTTCACTTTTTGCAGATGACATGATGCTAATATATAGAAAACCCAAAGACTCCACCAAAAAACTACTAGAACTGCTAAATGAATTCAGTAAAGTTGCAGGATATAAAATCAATGTACAGAAATCTGTTGCATTTCCACATACCACTACAGAAGCAGCACAAAGAGAAATTAAGAAAACAATTCCATTTACAATTGCACCAAAAATAAGAAGATATCTAGGAATAAACCTAACCAAAAAGGTGAAAGATCTGACTCTAAAAACTATAAAACACTGATGAAAGAAACTGAAGATGATACAAAGAAATGGAAAGATATTCCATGCTCATGGATTGGAAAAACATATGATTAAAATGTCTATACTACTCAAAGCAACCTATACATTTAATGCAATCCCTATTGAAATATCAACAGCATTTTTCACAGAACTAGAACAAACAACCCTAAAAGTTGTATGGGACCACAAAAGACCCCAAATAGCCAAAGCAATTTTGAGAAAGAAAAGCAAAGCTGGAGGGATCAAAATTCCAGATTTCAAGTTATATTATAAAGCCATAATAATCAAAACAGTACGGTATTGGCATAAAAACAGACACATAGATAAATAGAACAAAATAAAAAATCCAGAAAAAAACTCACAATTATATGCTCACAACACACACAAAACGCATACACCACACACACACCAAAAAAAATCATGCAAATAGTAACCAAAAGACAGCTGGAGTGGCTCTATTACTATCAGACAAAACTGACTTTAAGACAAAAGAACATATATAATGCAAATTTTTGTTTTGGAAGTTTGCCAAAGGCTTTTTGAAATAGAAGTATTTTTCTTCTTTATCCATGTATTTGCTGCTACAAATTCTGAGAATAAATAAGGTTTTACTGCCACTTACATAAACACATCACCATCTGTTAAATCATGCTTTCTTACACATTCAAATTTCTATTCTCAGTGTATAGCACACAATTCTGCTTTTTAACATTTTACCAACTGCATTATATATACATATAGTGTATATATATATATATATAGTGTGTGTCTATATATGTATATATGTGTATATATACACTATATATATTGTATACACACTATATACACATGTAATATTGTATATATAGTGTGTACATATAGTACATATATACCTAATGTTGTGTGTGTGTGTATGTATATATATATATGTGTATATATAGTGTATGTATATATATACACTTTTTTTTTAAGTGGACTCCATGCCCAGCGTGGAGCCCAATGCGGGGTCCAAACTCATAAACCATGAGATCAAGACCTGAGCCGAGATCAAGAGTCAGATACTTAACTCACTGAGCCACCTAGGTGCCCCCAACTGCATTACAATATATATATATATTTTTTTCCCTAGAGTTGAGATTTATAGATATTAAGTTAGAGAAAAAGAACACAGAATTCAAGAAAGCTCTTAATATTTCTTAAAGAACTTCTGAAAAACCTTAATCATATGTGTTTCTCATTTAATGAACTATTAATTTTCATTAGGAATGAAATAATCTCCTTTTCCAAGAACCTTAAAACCCTATACCAGACATATGTGTCAGGGCGCCTGGGTGGCTCAGTGGTTAAGCATCTGCCTTCGGCTCAGGTCATGATCCCAGGGTCCTGGGATCAAGCCCTGCATCGGGCTCCCTGCTCAGCGGGAAGCCTACTTCTCCCTCTCCCACTCCCCCTGCTTGTGTTCCCTCTCTCACCGTGTCTCTGTCAAATGAATAAATAAAATCTTAAAAAAAAAAATGTGTCTAGAGAATTAATAAGAGGTAGAAATTAAGGACTGTCAAAAAAAATCTGCAATCTACAAAGACTAGTCTTTGTCTTAGAAAGAAGGTATCAACAGCATAAATGTACATAATACTCTGCAGATTTAAAAGGCATTTTCTATATATTACATTATTTGATCCTTTCCATAACCCTTGTGAGATTGCAGAGTAAGGTCTGTTTCCCCCATTTTACACATTAAGAATCAATGCTCAGTAGAGACCACATGAGTCCCAGCAAGATGGTTAGTAAGTTTCAGAGTCAAGCTCTTCTGATTTGACATCCATTACTCTTTCCTTAATCCCACAATGCCACTAGAGACACAACCGTAAGGCACAATTATGTTCTTATTCTTTTCTAACTTACAAAGTAATAATAGAACTACAGAGAAAGAATGTACAGGTAGCTCAATCAGATTCTTTTTTTTTTTAAGATTTTATTTATTTATTTGACAGAGAGAGAGAGACAGCAAGAGAGGGAACACAAGCAGGGGGAGTGGGAGAGGGAGAAGCAGGCTTCCCACCGAGCTGGGAGCCTGATGCAGGGCTCGATCCCAGAACTCTGGGATCATGACCTGAGCCGAAGGCAGACGCTTAACAACTGAGCCACCCAGGCGCCCCTCAATCAGATTCTTTTTTTTTTTTAAAGATTTTATTTATTTATTTGAGAGAGAGAGAATGAGAGATAGAGAGCACAAGAGCGAAGACGGTCAAAGGGAGAAGCAGACTCCCTGCCAAGCAGGGAGCCCGATGCGGGACTCGATCCCGGGACTCCAGGATCATGACCTGAGCCGAAGGCAGTCGCTTTACCAACTGAGCCACCCAGGCGCCCTCTTTTTTTTTTTTTTTTAATTTTATTTATTTATTTGGGAGAATGAGAGAGAGAGAGAGCATGAGAGGGGGTTGGGTCAGAGGGAGAGGCAGGCTCCCCGCCGAGCAGGGAGCCCGATGCGAGACTCCAGGATCATAACCTGAGCGGAAGGCAGTCGCCTAACCAACTGAGCCACCCAGGCTCCCCCCTCAATCAGATTCTTAAAAGGATCTTCAACAGTATAAAACTATGATGAGAGAGCATCTATTTATTCATCTTCACTGCTACTTCTATTTTTTTTTTTTTTACAGATTTTATTTATTTATTTGACAGAGAGAGACACAGCGAGAGAGGGAACACAAGCAGGGGGAGTGGGAGAGGGAGAAACAGGCTTCCTGTGGAGCAGGGAGCCCGATGTGGGGCTCGATCCCCCGACCGTGGGATCATGACCTGAGCTGTAGGCAGGCGCTTAATGACTGAACCACCCAGGCGCCCCTTCACTGCTACTTCTAGATACCTTTAAAAATCAGTTTACTACCCAGAGGTGTTTCTTTTTTTTCCAAAAAGGAAAAAGGAAAAGTAGAAGAATGATGAAGGCAATAGGAGGCTGTTTCAAGGTTTTGAAAAACTTTGAACCTTTCCAAAAATTATTTTTTGATTGATTACCTTTTGGTATTATATTTTAACCTATCCTAAAAATATAGGTAAACAGAATGGTGAATCAAATATACTGGCATTCTTACTGAGGTCATTTTCAGTAAATAGAGCTTAGACTATATCATGATTTTAAAATAGTCTAGAAATAAATAGCTCATATACAAATGTCATTCAAGCACATGGTCATATCAAGTTAACATCTTTCACAGACTAATTTCTCTTTTTTAGCTGAAGTGAGGGGTGGGCAGTGAAAAAATTTTTTTAAAAGAAAAGATAATCCTTAAGCGATTACATCAAATAAAATGTCATGATGTATGATAATTGTATTAACAACATAATAGCAACACAAACGATTAAACTAAAACTTACTAAACTTATTGCTTTTAAAAAAAGCAGTTATAGAAAGAAGTTTCTCAACTTAAATAATGCCTACTTATTTTTACACAAATTTTTTTTACATTGACTTAAAATCTTTTTCAGAATAGCTTACCATTCTTTTCTTTTTTTTTAAGGTTTTATTTTTAAGTAATCTCTACACCCAGCGTTGGGCTTGAACCTACAACCCCAGATCAAGATCACATACTCTACTGACTGAGCCAGCTAGGTGCCCCAACTTACCATTCTTTAATAGTTACTTCTCTAATCCCTTCTCCGATGTCTGAGAGTTTGAATTGAACAATCTGTCCTTGCAGAGCTTCAAAGACAAATGAGAAATGGTCTCATTAAATAAGTAATGTATTCCTAACAGATACTTTCACAGCTAAAATGAGAAAATATTCTCAAGCAGAGGCAGAAACTATTGCATTTTACAGACAAAAATGTATTTTATAATTTTTAAAAGCATAAGCGTCATTCATAACCATCAAAGATTTAAATAAATCTTAAATCAGCGTCACAGACCTACTGATAACTGCCACAGCAATTCCATTTTCCCAACTTCCAAAATAATGCTCTTTTACAAGGGTATAGAAGGCCCAGCTAGCTGGATCTCCTTGTTTTCTGTTATCAAACTGTAATAACCACTAGTGTCCTGCTCTTAGATCTCTTTTGACTTCATGTAACTCTTCTCATTCTTAGTGGCTAACCATCAGGCAGGTCCGTATCTAGACAACTTGAAAAATTTTCATCTGTCCAAACCATGTTCTGCCAACTTATCTTTAAGTTTTAGTCCCTCTCCTTCCTCTTTCCACTGTTTATCCCTTTTTGAATTTCTACCCCACTCTTATAACAATTAGATGCAAGTGATACTTTATGGTAATTATTCCCAAGAGTAAGTATTTCTGGTCAACAGAAAGTAGGTATGGATCCTCTCACTTTTCCAGGGTAACAAGTGGCTCTGAACTGATTCAAGAGTGCTCCTCTATCTTCAGACTGCTATTCAACAAAATTGCTTACAAAACACACAACAAGCCAATTCAGGTCATAAGATTTTCTTTAATAAATACAAGGAGAGAGGTTAATGGTTAAGAAATACAAATGCATTTTTGATATAGAGGTATTAGGCACCTCATTTCCTCTCTAGTCAAGTTCGGTCCTCTTACAGCCTGCTGCTCATAGTACAAACCGAAACCTTTCTGAAAAAATAGTTTGGTATTAAGTATCAAAAGCCTTAAAAAAAAAGTTCGTATCTTTGACTCAATAAACAATTGTGCTTTTAAGACTTTTTTCCCCGGAGGAAATAATTAAGAGAGGTACACAAAGATTTGTGCTCAAGAATAGTTATCATAGAGTTAAAATGAAGACCTGGGATACCAATCTAAGTCATCGAAAAATGACAAGTAAATATATTATGGCACCTCTATACAAAACAATATTATTCAAGGAACAGCATGTGCAAGAAGAACATGGAAATATAGTGCATAGCATGGTTAGGGAATAACACGCAATTCTATGGCTGAAGATAGTATACATGGCAAAAAATCAGTCCAGATTTAAAAAGGCTTTCTTTGCCATGCCACAGTGAGGTGTTTGGAACTTATCCTGCAGGTGATCATGAGCCAGTAAGTAAATATGGTCATCATTTTTTTTGCAGCTGCTCCCATAAGACGTAGAGTCTAATTTACCACTACTTAAATCTATGCTGGCAAATGACTTCCTTGGACAATAGAATAGAGCAGAAGTAAAGTTGTACAAATTCTGGAGTCTAGACCTCAAAGGACCTCGCAGCTTCTTCTACCATCTCCCTCTTGGAATACTGCCTTGAGATCCCAGAGTAAGGAAGCTGATATAGTCTATTAGAGGATGAAAGACCATGTGGAAGAGAAATGAGACACCCCACCCAAAAACCAGCACCAACTGTCAGACATGTATGTGAGACCATCTTGCACCTTCCAGCCCAGATGATCCTCTAGCTGAATACAGTTATATTAGTGAGCTCAGGTGAAACCAGCAGAGGAACCACCCGGGTAACCCCCAGAATCCTGTGAAATAATAAATCATTGTTGCTTTAAGCCTAAAGTCGTGGGCAGGGTTGTTATTCAGCAATAATTAACCAACAGGGAATACCATCTGCAGTTTTAGATCTGTAACTTTAAATCTTTAATTTTAGAAAGAAATCTCCTTGGCAGGAATGTGGGTGGATGGGGTTGGGGAAGGGATGACAGAGAAAGCAGTTAGGAGGCTACTACAGGTACGAAACTGAAGTATAGAATTTAATATATTTATATATTTTCAAAGCTGTCTGAAAAAGAGAAGACAGATTTAAGACTCATGTAAGATGTCAAATTAATAGATCTCAGTAATCAATTTGATGTGAAACAGGAATCTGGAAGTCTCCAGGTTTCTAGCTTAAGTAGGGAATATAGGAAGAGAATGTATCCCAAGCACCTAGAACAGTGCCTTGGCAGATAGTAGGTGATCAATAAATACTTGTGTTAAATGAATTTATTCTCACAACAGTACAATGAGTTAGGCACTGTGATTACTCCCATTTTACAGATGATGAAATAGAAAGGAATTAAGTAACTTGCTTAAAGTTACACTGCTAGTAATTGATAGACCAAGAACCCAAAGCTCAAGGTGTTTAGACATTAGAGCAGGAAGTTGGGAGTTTCTGCTTGAATGGCCTCTATTTTCTCTGAGAAATAAAGAGAAAAGATCAACTTTTAAAAATAAAAATCTTAAAAAAAACAGGCAAAGGTAGGGTTTATGTATCTTAGGGTGTTGTGGAAGATGACCTATAAAAAGGCATGGAAAGACTGATCTCAGGGGTTGGATCTGCCTGGTATTCCCCCATTTTTCAGTGCTAGCACAGACTAAGGCATCAAGTATCTGTCAAAAAGCTTAATGGCTAGGGTTCTTTATCAGAGTTCTAAATAGAATATCAGAAAAAAAAATCTTAGTGCCCTTGCCAAATCTAATACTTAAGCCTCAAGTTCTTTACTGAGGGTAGAAAAAGACGTGAGAAAGGTAATTAAATGGTAAAAGTCAGAAAACTTTCTATTTAGGAACACTTCAGGATGTTTCATCACACAATCTTAACACAACAGACTGAGGTAGGTGCTTCATGCAACCAGTAATACAGTGACAGTATAAGGATACAATCTGCTAAGTCAACAATTTACCTGACTATTGCACTTAGATGAGCCACATGATAAAGAGCAGATGGCCCAAGACAACCCGTTCCCAATATTATGAAGACACAAGCATTAATGTAAAGATATAAAAGGGATGGGGGTGGGGGCACAGAAAAAAGAAGGTAAGAAAAGGATAGATTCAGGGAAAGCAAGGAGGGATGGGCTAGAAAGAAAAGGTTAACTTCTTTTACTTTGATAAGTCTTCAATTACTTTTTTAAAAGTTCTGAGTACGATATAAAACATTATTTTATATAGGCTATTTTGAGATCATACTTACCAGCAGTTGTTTTCAGCAACTGATGTGGATGACTATACTTGAATGAAGGATAACCAAAGAAATACACACATTTTGGCTTCAAAACATGAACATTCATACATGTCTGAAAGTAGCGAACACAGATCTAAAGATGAGAAAACAAAAAAGTAAACGCTTTTGTGGATGTTCTTGATGGCTTATCTCTCTAAGTACATACTGAATTTCAAGTCTATTCTAAAAGTAAAACAGTCATTATCACAAAGAAACAATATGAAATTATCCAGGCCAAAATCTGAACTGGCCAAAATCTGGAATCAATGAAAATCAAGTTTATTAAGATTGGTTATTTCTTTAGTATTTCTGTTCAAGAAATCAAAGGAACTTAAACCCTAGCACCCAGAGAACATTATTTTGTTCTTTTATTTAGTAAAACTACATCCTTGGAGTCAGATTTGTTTATATGCTTATGATCCTTGCCGAAAATTTCTTATGAAAGTGAAGAAATTTTAACAATGTATTTTATACAAACATCAGTTTGTAGGTGCAGTCAAGTCACTAAAGACTTCCTAAAACTATTAAAGAATTCAAAACTGACTGTTAGCATCTAAAGACACTGGAAAACATGTGTAGTGCTATAGGGAAAGGTTTTCTTACTATAATTTCTTACTGTAATTTACAGATGACTCTTTAGGTGTAACCATTTTGTATAACATCTTAGTATAATGCAAGACAATATGTAATAGAAATAAGTAGACATGAACCTAGTCAACTTGATATATTAGAACCTACGTGTTTGAAAAATAGACTATTTTATTTTTGAAAGTTAATATTTCAACATTATTAATACCTGGCTAACTACATCACACTTTTAAACATAATGTATAGATATTTCTAACCCCCTTACTGTATTTGAGAATAGTGGAATGTATTTCAAATTTTTTTATTAACGTAGGAGTTACTTTTAATTTAAAAAATTACTTTATTGTCAGGTACTTTATCCTTTAGTGATTAGCCTTTTACATTATAATACGTATTATGTATTTATAAACAAGAATTTTGTTCTTTTTCTGAGAGCAAATAATATAAAAACAAATATTTGGTTTACCAATAGGAATAATACATTTAAATTATTACATGATATTTCACCTTAATTTCCAAGCTGTTACTGATTTCTGAAGAAAAACTAAAGATCCCTTTCCTAAAACATAAATAATCTTAAATCATGCATCTTAGTTTTATCTTAAGAGATAATCATAAAGCAACTAATCTTTACGATATATATTTTATTCTTATTAACATTCAGGAAACGTAAAACTTAACTAAAATTGACAGCTTAAAACTTAGCAGATAGTGGGGTGCCTGGGTGGCTCAGTTGTTAAGCATCTGCCTTCGGCTCAGGTCATGATCCCAGGGTCCCGGGATGAAGCCCTGCATCGGGCTCCCTGCTCGGCGAGAGGCCTGCTTCTCCCTCTCCCACTCCCCCTGCTTGTGTTCCCTCTCTGGCTGTGTCTCTGTCAAATAAATGGATAGAATCTTTAAAAAAAAAAAAACTTAACAGATATTGAAAGAATTCTTTCCCAAACCCCCATTTTCTGTGTCCTTTCTTTCTCCTTCAACTCCCACAACCCTGGCTTTTAGTCAACAACAGACTCAAAGGCGTATATCAACTTACGCTTCATCAGACATTCATAAATTTTAATTTAGGGCAGTAAATGGAAGTTTGAATTATATGGATTCACCTTGATTTTTTTTAAAAAATCGTTTTTTAAAAAACCTTTGAAAGGGGCGCCTGGGTGGCTCAGTCATTAGGTGTCTGCCTTCAGCCCAGGGTCCTGGGATTGGGCCCCACATCAGGCTCCCTGCTCAGTGGGAAGCCTGCTTCTTCCTCTCCCTCTCCCTCTGCTTGTGTTCCCTCTTTCGTTGTCTGTCTCTGTCAAGTAAATAAATAAATAAAATCTTTAAAAAAAAAAAAACAACCTTTGTTGAAGGTCCTACCTTCAACAACTGGCAACTTTTATTGAAGAACTACTCACCAGGCAAGGGAGGCAGGAACTATCAAACTTTATTGAGTTCCTACCTAAGTGCTGGGTACTTTAAAAGTCTCTCTCTCTCTCTCTTTTATCCTCTTTTTATCTCACAATTACCTTCTGGAATAAAAGGCACATTAGCCCTCTGAAAAACTAATGAGTGCTTTGCCCAAGGTCACAAAACAAATGGCAAAATTCAGCTCTGAAACCAAGTAAATTTGACTCTAAAGCTGAGGCTCTTTCTCTCACACCACATTGTTATATGTAGCAGAAATAATCTCCGCTTTGAATTTATAACCTAGCTGAAACAATAACCCCCACCCCCCAACACACACATTCATGCATGGGCATGTATGCTCTAGTTTTTTGTAATAAATATAGGCAGTAGGTTTTAGATGAGTTTAAGTAGAGTTTTTTTGTGCTTTATTTTGTTTTTTCAGGTTGGCTTGATCTGGGAAGGCTTGTAGGAGGAAGAGTTGAGGTGGGCCTTGCATAATAAGTATTAATAATTAAAGAGCAGAAATGCACTTTTAAGGCAGAGGGAACAGACTAAACAAAGGAACTACTGCTGGAATTTGTCTCCTCAGGCAGTGAGTTGCTTGATTTGGCTTGATCAAATTTATAAAAGGGACCATTGGAAGTGGCTCAAGGACCAAATTGTAATCCTGTAAATGTCAGGATAAGGAGTATGAACTCCCACACTATAGATTATTGAAGAAAAAGGACTAAGAAATTAATGCAGTTGCAGTTTATTGATTATTAACAGGAAAGCCAAGTAAGAGAGGAAAAAGTTAAGAAACTATTATAGTATTTGAGGCATGAAATAATAGGCTCCTGAAGTGATTTACAGTGGAAAAGGAGAAAGCAATGTAAGTACAACAGGCATTATGTGGTAGTGATTAAATGGATTAAGAGAAGGCTAAAAAACATTAGTGAAACTGCTGAATGGAAAGATAAAAAAGCAACAGCAGGGAGAAGGAGAAAAAATAATTTGTCAAGCTAAAAAAGACATTTTTTTCTAGAAACAGAATACAAAAAATAGGAGATGAAACAAAGTTCTAGCAGATTCAAATAAGGAAATAAATAATAATTAAAACAGGCAGTTGTTGAGCACTCCTAAAGACAGGGATTGTGTGCTCGCTTCAGCAGCACATATACTAAAGACAGGGATTGTGCTGGGCTTGGGAATTCAAAGTTAAATAAGCTACAGAATATAGTCCCTAAATTCAAGGTGCTTACACTTCATTACAGGAAGACAGACAAAATTGAAAAGTTCAATGTTAATTCAATATGATAAGTTAATCAAGAGTCAATGCTTGGGCACCTGGGTGGCTCAGTCGTTAAGTGTCTGCCTTCTGCTCAGCTCATGATCCCAGGGTCTTGGGATCAAGCCCCACATCGGGCTCCCTGCTCTGCGGGAAGCCTGCTTCTCCCTCTCCCTCTGCCCCTGCTTGTGTTCCAGCTCTCGCTGTGTCTTTCTCTGTCAAATAAATTAATTAAAAAAAAAAAGTCAATGCTTGATGCAATAGGGGAGTATAAAACACAACATAGTAAGGCCTTGTTAATAATCTACTATAAGTATTAAGACCTCTTGTTGTTTATAACTTTTTAACAGATGGAAAAAATAGACTTTTTACTGAGTTGTTCAACAAATGCTTATTGAGTATCTACACTGTGCCAGGCACTTGGGATTAGAGAACAAAATAGATGAATTCCTCTCTCATGGAATGTACAGTCCATACCCTCAAAGGAAGACAAAGAGGTGATGATGACCATAGTGTTATAATGGAAGAAACAGAGTATTAAAAACAAACACGTAGCAACAATGTCCACAATAGCCAAACTGTGGAAAGAGCCAAGATGTCCATCGACAGATGAATGGATAAAGAAGATGTGGTATATATACACAATGGAATATTATGCAGCCATCAAAAGAAATGAGATCTTGCCATTTGCAATGACATGGTTGGAACTGGAGGGTGTTATGCTGAGTGAAATAAGTCAATCAGAGAAAGACATGTATCATATGACCTCACTGATATGAGGAATTCTTAATCTCAGGAAACAAACTGAGGGTGCTGGAGTGGTGGGGGGGTGGGAGGGATGGGGTGGCTGGGTGATAGACATTGGGGAGGGTATGTACTATGGTGAGCGCTGTGAATTGTGCAAGACTATTGAATCACAGATCTGTACGTCTGAAACAAATAACGCAATATATGTTAAGAAAAAAAAAAGAAGAAGATAGCAGGAGGGGAAGAATGAAGGGGAATAAATCGGAGGGGGAGACAACCATGAGAGACGATGGACTCTGAAAAACAAACTGAGGGTTCTAGAGGGGAGGGGGTGGGGGGATGGGTTAGCCTGGTGATGGGTATTAAAGAGGGCACGTTCTGCGTGGAGCACTGGGTGTTATGCACAAACAATGAATCATGGAACACTACATCAAAAACTAATGATGTAATGTATGGTGATTAACATAACAATAAAAAATTTTTAAAATAAACAAACAAATACAAAGGAGGGAACCAACCTACTTCAAGAAAGGAAACTTGAAGTAAGATCTAAGGGATGAGTAGGAGTAATCCAGGAGATGAGGTGTGTTGCAGATGAGGCCATAGGGAAAGAAAGCAAGAGTCTTTAAAGCAGAGGAAATAGATGTGCAAAGGTCTGGAGTCTGGAGTTGAGAGAGAGAGAGAGAGAGAGCAGTATGTTTAATTAATTGAAGCTCAATGCACTTCCAGTGTGGTTCAGTGTGGGGCAAGGGTAAGGGAAGTGTCAGAGTGGGCGTTGGGGTGAGTAGGTTTCAGCAAGAAATGAAGCCTGAGAGATTTGGAAAGGTCCAGATCATAAATTGCCTCACAGTCTTTTAGATTTTGGACATTTTGCTTGCAGCAGTTTTAAGCAAGGAAATGGCCTTCTCAAATGCATGTCTTACTTTATAAGATCACCCTGGTTACACTATGGAGAATGGGTTGGAGAGGCACCGACTGGAGGCAGAAAGTCCAATTAGGAGGGACCAGGATAGCTGCAGTTGGAGGCAAGGTGGAGAATAATGACTAAATTTTGGAGATTTATAGGCTAGAATCAAAAGAGAAATAGGTCTGGGGCGCCTGGGTGGCTCAGTCGGTTAAGTGACTGCCTTTGACTCAGGTCATGATCCCAGGGTCCTGGGATCGAGCCCCGCATCGGGCTCCCCAGTCGTCAGGGGGCCTGCTTCTCCCTCTCCTACTCCTCCTGCTTGTGTTCCCTCTCTCGCTGTCTCTCTGTCAAATAAATAAAATCTTTAAAAAAAGAGAAACAGGTCTGAGGGTTTTGTTCTGGAACCCAGAATCCGATGTGCCTCTGAGGCATTTGAGCAGACACTATGAGATGGCTAAATGCTAGCTCAAGACCCCTGGTGCTAGCAGTGGCCGTGTAACATAGTCCTGGCCAAAGAGTCTGACTGATACCGCCCCTTCCTCCTTCCTGCCTTGAATATGAAGTTGTAGCAGCCCTCTTGTAACCATGAGGGAAAGGCCACATGAATTGTTGAAATGACAACCCTGGTTAAGTATGAGCCACTTAACCAATGCCAGGGGCCATCTAGCTTTGGGACGCATAGATAATTTCCCATTTATTGGTTGGGTTTTTATTACTTGCAGCTTAAAAATACCTAATATGCATGCAACTGGAGATTTCCAGGATGGTAGGATATATATGGGTCTGGAGTAGAACTGGCTTGAAGACTGGGGAACTTTAGGGATCACCAGCATATAGACAGCAACTAAATTCAAAGAAGTGCCTGAAATAGTCCAGAAAGTGCAAAGGGCCATAGTCAGAGCCCTTATAAACACCAATACATATGTAAAAGGCAGGCAGGAAAATAGGAGATTGGGATGGAGTGGCCAAACATCTAGGAAGAAGAATATTGGGAAGCTGTGTCACAGAAACCAAGCAAGGAGCACTTTCAAAAAAGAGGCCAATACCTACCACGGTGCAAATCTCAAGTTACACAGCATCCTCTGAGAACTCCTCTCTGACCCTCCAAGACCCCTCCTATGTGTTCCTGTAACTCTATACTGTCCCATTATAGCACTTCTCAAGATGTCCTAATTCCTTGTTTATGTCTCTTTCTCCCCTGCCTTCCACCACAATGTTGTAATTAATCTGAAAGGGCAGGGGTCTCTCTTACTCACATTTGTTTCCCGAGCGCCTGGCACAGTACCTGGTACACAGGAGGCTCTTGACAGATTTTGTTAAGATCAGGGGTCGACCACTGTAAGACCTTAAGGAAGAGGGATCCCAGAAGGAAAAACGCTATGCAAATAGGACGAAATACTATGACTACTGAGATGTTAGGTGTCTGGTGCTAAATGGTTGTTCAAAGGGAGAAACTTCAAGGGAGATGGTGGTAGGTCGTAGCTCTGGTGATAAAAAGGTTGTAAAGATACGTGGCGCAAACACAGGAGAAGAGTACAGGTCCACAGAATGAAGCCTGAGTCTCTCTGCTCCTCGGAGGCAAGGACCCGTGGTGTTAGGATTTGCTTTACGGGTCTCTTCCTCTCTGGATTTAAGTTCTTCGAGGCAGGGGTCGTGTTGTCAGTGTTTGGCACACAGTGGGTGCTCAATAAATGCTGAATTAGTATATATTTCCATATCCCCAGTGCCTATCACAATGCCCAGCACCTAGATAGTGCCCAATAAAAGGCTAACGGGTGAAAGGCTAAATGGGCTGGGTGTAGATAAAGCTGGAAAGAGACGGAGTCGCGACAGAAACGCGGCCAGGTAAGGAGGAAGTGGGTCTCCGGACCGGTCCGCTCGCCACCTTCTCTGCCCTTCGTTTAGCATACATCCTTGCACTTCTCCATCTCGCGTGCCCTGTCCGCCTGGCACTCGGACGACAAAGTAACACACCTCCCCGGGAATACTAGCGACAAACCACTCCTTCCAGACCTCAAATGAGCCCCAAACCGCTTACCAGCCGCCCAGCATTCTGGCTCCAGGTCCTCAGCACACGCACTGCAGCCATCTTACCCGGAAATGACAAATGCTCCGTGGTTGTTAGTGTTGTCTCGCTGGGGCGACCTATCGGGAGCCGGGAAACGCACCTTCCCCCTGAGCGGCCAATGGCGAGGGAAGGAACGAGCCTCCCACCCCGTAGCCAACCAGCGGGCGGGGCGGGGCCTGAGATAACCACTTGGGTGGGGGGGGGAGAGTTCCCCGAGGAGGTAAAAGAGCAAGCTGGAGCGGGGGAAATTGGGGTGGCAGCTCAAAGTTAATTTCAGGGACCGAGTTGGGCAAGCCATTGCTGTGTCCACCAACGACCATCTTTTTCATCCATGAAGTAGAAATAGAGACTGTTAAGGGAACACAAAGGGAAGGCACTTGAAGAGAGTTTCGGTGAAGACCTGATGAGTAGGAAAAATATCCCCTTTCAGCTTGTATTGTACCCGCCTTGATTACGAAAATGGGACATTTCTACACTTTGAGGCAAAGGCTCTGTACCACTAATTGAGTCACAAGCCTATGCTGGAATCCTACCCAGTGACTGGTATTCCTTACTCCCATGGAGGGGTTCTTGGTGACATAAATCGCCTTTTCAATTTTTTTCCTTCACAGAAGATAAAGGTTACCCTAATGTCTAAAATAAAGACATTATCTTTTCTTCTTAGAGAATGTTGTCAGATGCAGCTGCCCAGCATATATAGTATATATCACAGACATATAACCTTGATTTACTTGGTTCTTGGAGAATGTCAAATTCAGGTCAAGTTGATTGGGGGGAAAATAAAAGTTCAGAGCTTTAATAGTCTTTCTCAGAGTAACTAGGACACCAATTTCTAGAAACTTCCAGGATGACATTTGCCTGGTTTTTGTCCTCTAGATAGGAGTTAAAGTTAAAGAATTAAAGACAAAAAAATTGGGAGGGGTGCCTGGCTCAGCCATTAAGTGTCTGCCTGCCTTCAGCTCAGGTCATGATCCCAGGCTCTTGGGCTTGAGCCCCACATCGGGCTCCCTGCTCAGCCAGGAGCCTGCTTCTCCCTCTCCCACTCCCCCTGCTTGTGTTCCTGCTCTCACTCTCTCTCTCTCTCTCTCTGTGAAAATAAATAAATAAAATCTTTTTAAAAAAATGGGGAAAAACATTATAAATCCTCAACATTGAAGGTTAGTGGCTGTGAAACAAATTCTCAGTTATTTCACAAATTTACTGTCTAATATTACCCAAACTCACATTTTTTTGCTTTATTTGCTTTTCAGTATATTTCACATACAAACTATTATAAGCAATAAATCCAAATCATTACTTTTATAACAAAATCTGGAAAGTCAAAAGAACTTTAATTTTTTTTAACTTTCCTATTAACAAAACATTTTATAAGCACTACTCATTTGATAACCCCATATGTGCGTGTGTTTTTAAAAACAAGATGTAGTAGCTGTGACTTTGAAGTGAATTATTTTCTTCCCAGGGCCCCTATACCACCTTCTTCCTCTTAACTTTCCCTTTAATCTACCTTCTCCCAAGAAAATATTTGGTTATTCTTTTCTTTTACCTTCTTTTGACCTCAATGGATTACTACTTCCACATTGAGTGTTGTGTGTGTCCTTATCTTTCAGCATCAACAGTTATGCCACCTACTTACTAGTTATTCCTTTCGCTTGAGTTCAAAAGAACCAAAGAACCATTTTTCCCTTTTCCTAATTAATAAAGTGACTGATTATGACCCATCAGTTCCACTGCTAGGTATCTACCCAAGAGAAAGGAAAACATATGTCCATACAAAGACTAGTACAAGAATAATGGCAATAGCATTGTTTTTAATAGCCAAAAACTAGAAACAGTCCAAATACTCTTCAACCGGTGAACAAATGAGCAAAATGTGGTATATTCACATAATAAAAGATTATTTATCCTTAAAAATGACTGAAACACTGGTACATGCTGTGACATGGACAAACCTCAAAAATATTATGGGAAGTAAAAGAAGCCAGATCTGAAAGGTTGTATATTGCATGATTCTATTTATATGAAATGTCCAAAGAAAACAATCTACAGAGACAGAAAGCAGATTAGTGGTTGCCTGGGGCTGGGAATGGGAATGGCAAATGGCAAATGACTAGGAATGGGAATGGGAAAAAGCTTTTTGTGGTGATGGAAATTTCCTATTACCAGACTGTGGCGATGGTTGCATAACTGTAAAATGTACTAAAAATCACTGAATTGTACACTTAGAACAAGTGAATTTTATGGTATATAGCTCAATGTAGCTTGTTAAAATTTGTGTTACATTGTACACTTACAAAAGAATAATGTAACATATAGATAAGTCACACATAATAACAAAAACCTTGAACCCATTACCCAATTTAACAAATACAACCTTTCCTATTCTCAGGAAGGTCACACTGTCTGCTCCTCTTAACCCTTCCTCTCACCTTTGTTTCCATATGTTATATATGTGTGTTCATCATACCTTTGTTTCCATATGTTATATATGAATCTCTAACAATATCTTGTTTACCTTTGCTTATTTTTGAGTTTTATAAAAATGGTATCAAATTCTATCTTTCTGCAACTAGCTTTTATGACCATGCCACAATTTCTTTATCCATTTTCTATGCAGTGAACATTTGTGCTGTTTCCAGTTCTTTGCTTTTGCTATTACCACCAGTGCTGCTATATACATTCTTTTCTCCTGGTACATGTGCTAGAGTTTCTTTAGGGCAGTGCTTCTCAGATCGTAATGAACATTCGTATCATCTGGGGATCTTGTCCTAATGCAGATTCCAATGCAATAGATCTGGGTGAGGCCTGAAATTCTGCATTTCTAACAAGTCTAGGTGATATAGTTGCTCCTGGTTAGCCAATTACACTTTGATTAGTAAGACAAGGATACATACTTAAAAATAGAATTGTGGAGGGGCAAATGGCTGGCTCAGGTGGTGGAGCTCTTGATCTCGGGGTTGTGAGTTCAAGCCCCACATTGGGTGTAGAGATTACTAAAATAAATAAACTTAAAAAAATAGAATTGTGATTATACTTATCTTTTTTTTCTTTTTGAGAGAGAGAGAGAATGAGCAGGGAGGGGAAGAGGGAGAAGGAAAGAGGAAATCTTAAGCAGGCTCCACGTTCAGCACATACCCCAACACAGGGCTGGATCTCACGACCCTGAGATCATGACCTGAGCCAAAACGAAGAGTGGGTTGCTTAACTGACTGAACCACCGAGGCACACCAAGATTATACTTATCTTTAACTTTACCCAAGATGATGCTATATTGTTTTCCAACATGATGATGCAAAATACACAGCAGCTGTTAAAGAGATTACCCATTGTTTCTGATTTGATATTGTTGCACTTAAACAGAGTTAATATCTTCCCAATATAGTAGTTATAAAATGGCATCATGTTCTTAATTTGAATTTCCTGGTTGTTAATAAGGTCGAACACATTTTCATATGTTTATCAATCATTCTTGAAGTGCCTGCTCATGTTTTTAGCTTATTTTTTCACTACTGTGTGTATGTATTTCTCTTGATGATTTGTGTGGGAGTTCTTTATATATTTTAGGTTGTAATGCTTTTTCATTTATGTGTTTTTGGTATCTTTTTCCTCATCTTTGCTCTTTTATAAGTGTCTTTGGTGTAGAGTTCTTCCTTTTAACATGGTTGAATGTATCTGGGTTTTGTTTTTGTTCTTTTTTCTGTATGGTTAGTGCTTTTTCTGTCTTAAGAAATACTTCCCAACTGGGTGGCTCAGTCGGTTAAGCATCCGACTCTTGATTTCAGCTCAGGTCATAGTCTCAGGGTCCTGGGATCAAGCCTCACATCAGGCTCTGCACTCAGCATGAAGTCTGCTTGTCCTTCTTCCTTTGTTCCTCCCCCACTCTCTCTGTCTCTCTCTCAAATAAATAAATAAATAAATAAAATCTTTAAAAAAAAAATACTACCCAATCCAAAGTTCTGAAGGTAGTCTGCTATATTTCCTTCACATTTAAGTCTTGTTTTGTAATTTTAAAATTGAAATATCATTCACATACCATGAAACTCACCCTTTTAAAGTATATAATTCAATGATTTTTAGTATATTCATAAAGTTGTGCAACCATTACCACTATCTAATTTCAGAATATTTTCATCACCACCAAAAGAAACCTCATAGCCATTAAGAACTTCCCATTCTGGAATTCCCCCTACCCCCACCCCAAGACCCTGACAACTACTAACCTATTTTCTGTCGCCATAAATTTACTTATTCAGTCGTTTCCTTTCATATAAGTGAAATCATACATTATGTGTTCTTTTATGACTGGCTTCTTTCACTTAGCGTGATGTTCTCAAGGTTCATCTATATTGCACATATATCAGTATTTTATTCCTTTTAATAGCTTAGTAATATTTCATTGTATGGATATAGCATATTTTTGTTTATCCACTCGTCAGATGGTAGACATTTGGGTTGTTTCCATTTTGGAACTATTATGAATAATGCTGCTATGAACATTCTTGTACAAGTTTTTTTTTCTATCTTTTTTTTCTCGTACAAGTTTTAGTGTGGACATAGGTTTTCATTTTTCTTGGGTATATATCTAAGAGTGAAATTGCTAGGTAGCATGTAACCCTATGCTTAACTTTATGAGGAACTGTCAGACTGTTTTCCAAAGTGGCTGCACCAATTTACATCCCCACTAGCAGTGTAGGAAGGTTCTGGTTTCATGCCCTCACCAACACTTGTTATTACTGGTCTTCACACCATACTAGTGGGGTGTGAATTGATATTTCACTCTGGTTTTGATTTGCATTTCCCAATGACAAATGATGTTAAGCATCTTTTCATGTGTTTATTGGCCATTTGTATATCTTCTTTGAAGAAATGTCTATTTGAATCCTTTATGCATTTTAAATTGGGTTATATATATATTTTATATATATATTGGATACTTTATATATTCTAGATACTACACTCTTATCAGATATCTGATTTACAGATATTTTCTCCCCTTCTGCAGTTTGTCTTTTCACTCTCTTGGTGGTATCTTTGAAGCACAAAAGCTTTTAATTTTAATTAATTAAAGTCCAATTTATCTATTTTTTAAATTGTTGGTGCTTTTCGTGTCATATCTCAG